GTCCTCTGCTAGATCACTCGTGGCATCCCTCTTCCGCTAGCTCCCCCCCCGTGGCATCCCTCTTCCGCTAGCTCCCCCCCCCCCTTCCGTGGCATCCCTCTTCCGCTAGCTCCCCCCCCTTCCGTGGCATCCCTCTTCCGCTAGCTCCCCCCCCCTTCCGTGGCATCCCTCTTCCGCTAGCTCCCCCCCCCTTCCGTGGCATCCCTCTTCCGCTAGCTCCCCCCCTCCCGTGGCATCCCTCTTCCGCTAGCTCCCCCCCCCCCTCCCGTGGCATCCCTCTTCCGCTAGCTCCCCCCCCCTCCCGTGGCATCCCTCTTCCGCTAGCTCCCCCCCCTCCCGTGGCATCCCTCTTCCGCTAGCTCCCCCCCCTCCCGTGGCATCCCTCTTCCGCTAGCTTCCCCCCCTCCCGTGGCATCCCTCCTCCGCTAGTTCCCCCCCCGTGGCATCCCTCCTCCGCTAGTTCCCTCCCGTGGCATCCCTCCTCCGCTAGTTCCCTCCCGTGGCATCCCTCCTCCGCTAGTTCCCCCCCGTGGCATCCCTCCTCCGCTAGTTCCCCCCCGTGGCATCCCTCCTCCGCTAGTTCCCCCCCGTGGCATCCCTCCTCCGCTAGTTCCCCCCCCCTCCCGTGGCATCCCTCCTCCGCTAGTTCCCCCCCGTGGCATCCCTCCTCCGCTAGATTCCCCCCCGTGGCATCCCTCCTCCGCTAGATCCCCCCCGTGGCATCCCTCCTCCGCTAGAGCATCCCTCCTCCGCTAGATCCCCCCCGTGGCATCCCTCCTCCGCTAGATCCCCCCCGTGGCATCCCTCCTCCGCTAGATCCCCCCCGTGGCATCCCTCCCGCTAGATCCCCCCCGTGGCATCCCTCCTCCGCTAGATCCCCCCCCGTGGCATCCCTCCTCCGCTAGATTCCCCCCCCCCCCCCCCCCCCGTGACATCCCTTCCCTGCTAGATCCCCCCCGTGGCATCCCTCCTCCGCCCTTAGATCCTCCCCCCCAGTGGAATCCCTCCACCGTTAGATCCCCCATGGTATCCCTCCGCTCCGTTAGATTCCACCGCACCCCCTGCAGAATCCCCGCCGTTAGATTCTCCCCACCCCCATGGAACCCCTCCGCCATTAGATTCCCCCCCATGGAATCTCTCCAACATTAGATCATCTTCGGTACAGACAGCCAGCCTGCCCCTAGATGGTTCAAATGCTGAACTGGCTGAGATTCGATCCATGCATGGCGGGCTTGAGATGGACTAGCAGATGTAGATGGATTTGAGTTAAAATGGTTGTAAAAGCTGAAGGTGTTTTTTTACCTTAAAGTGTTACTAAACCCCCAACAGTGCAATCAGTCTGTAGGTGCAGGAAAGCATGCTGGTTATACTCAACGTGGAACCTAAGGGGTTAATCCTCTACATTGTGTAAAAAAGCCATTTGATCCTGTCTTCTCTGTCCCTTCTCTTGTTCAGATGTCCACACTGAAAAGACAGACTGAACCCATAGCCCTTCTGCACATGCTCAGTTTAGTGTGTATTGCTAGAGATGTTTTGTTTTTTTTGTTTTTTTTCTTCTTTGGAGAGTGCATGTGATCAGCACAGGGCCAGTCAGCACTGTCCAGACAGAGGTCAGGGGTTTTGCATCTTCCTAGAGCAGAAAGAAAATTCCTCCTACAGGCTTTAACCAGTGCTGTGCTGAAGTCACAAGACTGCTCTAACCGCTGAAGAGAAAAGCTATTTAGCAGTTTATATTTACTAAAATAATTGCATTTCCATGTTCTGTGTACTGTGGGAGAGTGGATATAGTGAATGCAGGGTCTGGGGGAGATCAGATATAGTGAATGCAGAGTCCGGGGAGACCAGATATAGTGAATGCAGGGTCCGGGGAGACCGGATATAGTGAATGCAGGGTCCGGGGAGACCGGATATAGCAGGGTCCGGGGATGCAGGGTCTGGGAGACCAGATATAGTGAATGCAGGGTCCGGGGAGACCAGATATAGTGGATGCAGGGTCCTGGGAGACCGGATATAGTGAATGCAGGGTCCGGGGAGACCAGATATAGTGGATGCAGGGTCCTGGGAGACCGGATATAGTGAATGCAGGGTCCGGGGGGTCCGAGACCGGATATAGTGAATGCAGGGTCCGGGGAGACCGGAGACCGGATATAGTGAATGCGGGGTCCGGGGAGACCAGGTATAGTGAATGCAGGGTCCGGGGAGACCGGATATAGTGAATGCGGGGTCCGGGGAGACCGGATATAGGGAATGCAGGGTCCGGGGAGACCGGATATAGGGAATGCAGGGTCCGGGGAGACCGGATATAGTGAATGCGGGGTCCGGGGAGACCGGATATAGTGAATGCGGGGTCCGGGGTTTAGTAACACTTTAAAGCGGAGTTCCATTGAATTAAAAAAAAAAAAGACAAAAAATTAAAGTCAGCAGCTACAAGAACTGTAGCTGCTGACTTTTAAAATACAGACACTTACCTGTCCCTCGGTCCAGCGTTATCCTCACCACCTCTGGTTTCACCGACTATCTTCTCTCTCCGGCATCTTCCCATGTGCTTTGTAATGACCTGTCACATGTCCCAGAAGACTACGGGGAGAGAGGGGGAGGAGGACAACTTTAGCTTCCGATCGCCTTAGGCGATCTCAGTGGAGGTGGGAGTGGGTACCTGTCAAATTCGTGTACCCGCTTCTCAAAGGTGCCAATCCTCAACGGGGGGACAAACCCTTAAAGCAGGAACATCCCCTTTTGGGTGGAGCTCTGCTGTAATGCAGTCTCTGCATTAAGATACAAAAAACCTTCTGTATGCAGCTTAATCTCCCCCCCCCCCCCCCCCCTCCCCCAGGCCCCCCTTATACTTGCAGTACCTAAACCCGATCTCAATCCAGTGACCTGCATGGGAGCAGTGGCTCTCCTTGTTCTCTCCCTCCTCATAGGCTCAGACACAGCAGTTGCTGCTGTCAGTCTCAGCCAGTGAGGGGAGGGGGTGGGACCGAGCTACGCTCTGTGGATCAGTGTACACGCAGAGCTGACTCGGGACCGAGCACGCACAAGTGCCCCCATAGCAGACGGCTTGCTTTGGGGGCACTGGGCAATAGGAAGAAGCCTGAAGTGCTGTTGGGGGACCCCAGGCTAATGGCAAGGATAGATTTCTTTCTAATTATTATTATTATACAGGACTTCTATCTCGCTGACAGTTTGCTCAGTGCTTTACATTATGGAGGGAGACAGTACAGTCACAATACAGTTCAATACAAGAGGGATTAGAGGGCCCTGCTCCTTGGAGCTTACAATCTAGGAGGGAGGGGATAGTGGTACAAGAGGTAATTAGCTGTGGGGGATGGAGTGGTAGGTAGAGGAGTAAAGGATTCCAGTATTAGCTAGGGTCGGGGTAGGCTTCCCTGAAGAGATGGGTTTTCAGAGTGCGCCTAAAAGTGAGCAGAGTAGGCGATAGCCTGATAGATTAGGGTAGGGAGTTCCAGAGGATGGGTGAAGCCCTTGAGAAATCCTGGAGACGGGCATGGGAGGAGGAGATAAGGGAGCTAGAGTGTAGGAGGTCTTGCGAGGAGCGGAGAGTACGGTTTGGGTGGTCTTTAGAGACAAGATCGGTGATTTAATTGGGCAGAGTTATAAATGGCTTTATACGTCAGTGTTAGTGTTTTGAATTTTATCCGTTGGGCAATGGGAAGCCAGTGGAGGGATTGGCAGAGAGGGGTGGAGGACACTGAGTGGAGGCCAGTGGAGGGATTGGCGGAGAGGGGTGGAGGACACTGAGTGGAGACCAGTGGAGGGATTGGTAGAGAGGGGTGGAGGACACTGAATGGAGGCCAGTGGAGGGATTGGCAGAGAGGGGTGGAGGACACTGAATGGAGGCCAGTGGAGGGATTGGCAGAGAGGGGTGGAGGACACTGAATGGAGGCCAGTGGAGGGATTGGCAGAGAGGGGTGGAGGACACTGAATGGAGGCCAGTGGAGGGATTGGCAGAGAGGGGTGGAGGACACTGAATGGAGGCCAGTGGAGGGATTGGCAGAGAGGGGTGGAGGACACTGAATGGAGGCCAGTGGAGGGATTGGCAGAGAGGGGTGGAGGACACTGAATGGAGGCCAGTGGAGGGATTGGCAGAGAGGGGGTGGAGGACACTGAATGGAGGCCAGTGGAGGGATTAGCAGAGAGGGGTGGAGGACACTGAATGGAGGCCAGTGGAGGGATTAGCAGAGAGGGGTGGAGGACACTCAGTGGAGGTCAGTGGAGGGATTGGCAGAGAGGGGTGGAGGACACTGAATGGAGGCCAGTGGAGGGATTGGCAGAGAGGGGTGGAGGACACTGAGTGGAGGCCAGTGGAGGGATTGGCAGAGAGGGGTGGAGGACACTGAGTGGAGGCCAGTGGAGGGATTGGCAGAGAGGGGTGGAGGACACTGAGTGGAGGCCAGTGGAGGGATTGGCAGAGAGGGGGTGGAGGCCAGTGGAGGGATTGGCAGAGAGGGGTGGAGGACACTGAATGGAGACCAGTGGAGGGATTGGCAGAGAGGGGTGGTAGATACAGAGCAGTTAGTAAGGTGAATGAGTCTGGCAGCAGTATTCATGATAGACTGAAGAGGGGATAGCCTGCGATGAGGTAGGTCAATGAGGAGGGAGTTACAATAGTCAAGGCGAGATATAAGGGAGTGAATGAGTTGCTTAGTGGTTTCAGAGGTTAGGAACGGTCGTATCTCGGAGATGTTGCGGAGGTGAAGTCTACATGAGTTTGTCAGCGATTGGATCTGGGGCTGAAAGGACAGATTGGAGTCTAGGATGACACCTAGTACCCCGGAGTTCAGCTTTAATGGAGCTTTTACCGGCCCCTAATCCTATATAACCTCTTCTTTTGTATTCCGGGGCCTGCCTGTATCAGAATTGCACGGTGCTGGGGCTAAATACTACAACATAGAAGTTGCAGCACTGAAAGCAAACACTTTGCACACAAAATCTTAACAAAAACCTGGAGTAAACTCATCAATTCTTATTTGTACAGATGGCTGAAGAGCTCGCAAAGCAGTTGGCTGGATACAAAGCCCAGCTCCAGCAGGTGGAGGCGGGCACTAACTGCCGATACTGACAATGAGGATCTGCTGAAACTGCAAAAGGATTTAACGGTGAGTGTGTGCCGCAATGGCGCCTATTAAGGTATAATCCCTTTGTATAAATCACATTGGATCATCCAAAAAGTAACAAAACAGTTACTTATCGACCCAACAGCACTCTGTCAGTTTGTCCTTTTTGTTTACTACTGTATTTCAGGACACCATCCATAGTGAGAGCCTCTGCTTGTGTTTATCTCTGTACAAGAAGCACTGATAATCCGTGTATGTCTGGAAAAATAAAAAAAAAAAAAAAAACATTTTTCAGTCCATCTAGAATACATGCATGTATCACCCTTTTCTTTTTCTCTTTAACCACTTGCCCTCCTGAGGATTTACCCCCCCCCCCCCCCCTTCCTGACCAGGCCTCTTTTTTTGCTGTTCGACACTGCACTATTTCACCTGATAATTGCGCAGTCATGCAATGCTGCACCCAAACGAAATTTACATCCTTTTTTCACACAAATAGAGCGTTCTTTCGGTGGTATTTGATCACCTGTGCGCTTTTTTTTTTTTTTTTTCACGCTATAAACAAAAAAAGACCGAAACCTTTGAAGAACGATATTTTTTTTTACTTTCGGCTATAAAAAATATATAGTAAACTCAAAGTTAGTCATAAATTTAGAACAAAATGTATTCTGCTCCATGTTTTTGGCAAAAAAAAATCCCAATAAGTGTATATTGATTGCTTTGTGTGAAAATACAAACTATGGTATAGATACTGCAATTTACGCCATTTTGTTTTATACAGCGCTACAGTCATGCAATACTGTACATAAATGAAATCTTTGTCCCTTTTTGCACACAAATAGAACTTTCTTTCGGTGGTATTTGATCACCTTTTTATTTTTCGCGCTATAAACAAAAAAAGACCGAAAATTTTGAAAAAAAAAAAGATATTTTCTCATTTTGTGTCATAAAAAAAAAAATCCAAAAAACTAAAATTTTGTCATAAATTTAGGTCAAAATGTATTTTGCTCCATGTTTTTGGTAAATAACAATCCCAGTAAGTGTATATTTATTGCTTTGTGTGAAAGTTATAGCGTCCACAAACTATGGTATAGATAATGGAATTTACACGGCTTTTACTTTGTGACTACCTATCACATTTCTTGAGGTGCTAAAATACTAGGACAGTACAAACACCCCCAAATGACCCCTTTTTGGAAAGTAGACACCCTAAACTACCGTATATACTCGAGTATAAGCCGACCCGAAGCCGAGGTACCTAATTTTACCACAAAAAACTGGGAAAAAACTATTGACTCGAGTATAAGCCCCATCATTAGTATCAGTGGGAGGAATAGTGCCCCATCATTGGTATCAGTGGGAGGAATAGTGCCCCATCATTGGTATCAGTGGGAGGAATAGTGCCCCATCATTGGTATCAGTGGGAGGAATAGTGCCCCATCATTGGTATCAGTGGGAGGAATAGTGCCCCATCATTGGTATCAGTGGGAGGAATAGTGTCCCATCATTGGTGTCAGTGGGAGGAATAGTGCCCCATCATTGGTGTCAGTGGGAGGAATAGTGCCCCATCATTGGTATCAGTGGGAGGAATAGTGCCCCATCATTGGTATTAGTGGGAGGAAATAGTGTCCCATCATTGGTGTCAGTGGGAGGAATAGTGCCCCATCATTGGTATCACTGGGAGGAATAATGCCCTATCATTAGTATCAGTGGGAGGAATAGTGCCCCATCGTTGGTGTCAGTGGGAGGAATAGTGCCCCATCGTTGGTGTCAGTGGGAGGAATAATGCCCCATCATTAGTATCAGTGACACCAATGATGCGGCACTATTCCTCCCACTGACACCAATGACACTTGCTGACTCCTGTTGCAGTATGGTGCTGCTGGAGCCAGCATATGTGGTTGCAGCAGCACCTCTGCACTGCACACTTACCGGCTTTTCCCTCACTCGATTTTCGCGGGTCCGCTCGGCTCTGCCTCCTCGCCCGTGATTGGCCGCCTGTGTACCTTTCCTGAGCTACAGTTCTGGCGGCCAATCACCGGTGAGGAGGCGGAGCCGAGCGGCAGGAGTGAGGGAGTGGCCGGAGTGACGGAAGGAGCAGCGCTTCCTGGATGGATCATCGTGGGAGCCAGGTAAGAGACAGCAGCCCTCTGCCCACCCCTGTACGCGCCCCCCTTGACGGAGCCTCGCGCCCCCCCCCCCCTGACATCTGCAGACGTTGACTCGAGTATAGGCCGAGGGGGCCGTTTTTCAGCACAAAAAATGTGCTGAAAAACTCGGCTTATACTCGAGTATATACGGTATATGCTGAGAGGCATATTGAGTCCATTACACAAATTTGTCATTCAAATGATATATTGCTCACACAAGCCATGGGTATATGTGGAATTACACCCCAAAATACATTCTGCTACTTCTACCGAGTATAGGGATACCACATGTGTGAAACTTTTTGACCCCATATCTGGCACGCTTGCTGGGGAGAAATTGTTTGAATGCAAGGTGGCCAAAAAAATTAATGAGGGACTCCTCAACGCAGATGTTTTGCTGGGGAGTATAGACATCTGCAAATTTTTGGTTAAGGTGATTTACGAGAGGCCGAATTTTGTGGCGCCGATCAAATTCAGGGTCACCCCGAGGATGACAGGATGTTTTGTCGTTGAAATGCAAAACACATTATACTCTCATATCTAAGCCCGGCCATGGCAGCAGAGAACACGGGCATATGATGAATTGGGTCTGTGGACCAATACATTTTTTTACATTACAATTTACAATTTTTTTTTTAGTAATGCCCATGTTGAGGGTAAGGCCCAATAAAACTTTAAATGCAGAAACCGTAATGGGTTTCCATGCGAATGGTCTGGCAAGGTTTGAATTTGGGTTGGCGGCGATAAATTGTTGCGCATATAAATTGCTTTGAGCCACAATCAATGCATACAGGTCTTCCGTGAAAAACAGCTCAAAAAAATCAAGGGGAGTATTTAAATTTGCTGTTTCCACCTGAATTCTGGGTTGGACAGTGAATTGGGGAAGTACAGGTGCTGCAGAAATTGTGGGCTGCCAATCGGGATTTGCAAGCACATCCGGAAGGATACTAGGGGCTCTACGGGCCTGTGTGCGAATTCTTGGTGGCTGCGGGACAATACTTGTGCTCGCCACCGCACCAGCTTGTACTGGACTTATGGGACTCGCCACGTCACCAAGTCATACTGCAGTGCTGGTATGTGAAAACAAGGATGTACTAGGCCACTGGTGCTCACCAGCTGACCAAAAGGTAGTGTGGCACTAGTACTGGCACTCTGCTGCATATGAGAGTCATCAAAATTTACTGACGAGATCTAACAGAGATCAGGCCTGATTCTGCGAACACTGCGGTTTTGTGTGCACTTGACTACTGACACTGCACTTGCTGGGGGAAAAGGAGGGGGGGGGGGGGGCTGCAAGTGTAGGGGCTAAACGCAGGTGCCGGGGCACTAACGCTGCATTTTTGGGGACACTATACTAATGTGGGCACTGGTATAGTGCTGATCTGATCAAAGATATTGATCTGTTCAGACACTATACTAGCAATGGAGGTTGTGTATGAGCGTCTTCGTGGCAATCAAGGGGTTTAAATGTGATGACTGGTGTACTGACGGGCAATCTGACACTATCTGGGAGGGGCGCGAAAACCGTGGGAGCGCCAATCGCGTATATATATATATATATGTGATTTTGCACACCCATGCCACCCTGTACCAGTATCTCTACTATAGGGCGGCATGGAAACGGTTAAACATGGCCAGTGAAAAAAAAAAAAATCAAATGTAATCATAAATTTAGGCAAAAATGTATTCTGCGCCTTGTCTTTGCTAAAAAAAAAATCCCAATACGTGTAAATGAATTGATTTACGTGAAAGTTATAGCGTTTACAAATGGCGGTATAGATACCGTAATTTTTTTTTTTTTTAGCGGTGGATAATAAAGGGATAGATAGTTTTCCTGTCTATTTATTTATTTATGCTGTCTGTGCCCCATTGAAGAGATTTGTTTCAATTCTTGCCCTGAAGATGCAACAGAAGGTCATAGGAAATCTCAACAACGTTTGGGGAGGTCCCCTGTTATTAAGCCGTTACTGGAACATGTGACTCCATTGGAACATTACCCTCACCCCAGTTCCGGTGACCTCTGTAAAATTTTAGGCTTCCTTTGTCAGGGGCAGGGGTCACTAGAAGAAATTAAGAGGGTATGGCTTCATTCACACTGGTGTGCTTAAACATACATTTGTGCAAAGGGCCAATTTTGCCTGCATGGGTGTTCCATGCATCTGCATGCAGGCAGTCCCATGCATGTCTGTCGGGACGCATCAGCTGCGCGGGCGCTGTTGCTCCGAGTCTAACATCCATGTGGGTGCAAGTCCCTGAACTCACACTATCTGCGTTTTGGAGACACGCACCTGCATGGATGTAAAATTGGGAGCAGCAGCTGTATCCATGCAGCCACTGCATTCCAGTAGACATGACAGAATGGGACTGCCCACATGCGGATGCACAGAACACATGTGCATTCCTTTGTGGGTAAAAAAACAGGCCTACACATGGATGTGCACTTAAGTACGCATGTGTGAGCAGGGCCTAAATCTTATTATTGGGGACACAGTAATACAAACGTCAGGGGTTCTTTTTCTTCCCCACTCTATCCAAAACTGACATTTCTGGCTATAAAGAAATGTTTAAAAATGTTATTAACCTCTTCCTGTCCAGCCCATGTCGATAAACGGCCGGGGGAGGGAGCACTGCTGATGCGGGTGGATGTTTCTAAATGTCTCCCTGCATCTATTGCCTGGGAGCGCGCGCGGGGCACCGCGATCGCTGTACGGGAAAACCGATCGCTGTACGGGACCTCTGTGTGAGGTCCCGATTCATGTGATCACTGATTGGCCAATCAGTGATCACATGAATAGTAATAAACAAGATTTCACTTCTGACATCATTGCTTACTACTTGTGAAATCTGTGAATGATCACAGAGGTCACATGGTACAAGGCTATTCAAAACAGCCTTGTACCATGTGACAAGCTGTGACCAATCACTGCGTGCACAGTATTTCTCAATGGCTGCAGGAATGCAGCCAGAGAGAAGGAGAAAATGATTGCTTTTACAGCCTTTATGGGTATAAAAGCAATTGTGTAAAAAAAGAAAGAAAAATCTTCATCACCCCCACAAAGTAGTATAGTGTCACCATGGTGACAGTATGTTAAAAAAAAAGAAAACAAAAAAAAACAAATAATTTAAAAACTTAAAGAATTTTGAAACATTTTAATTTTTGGTTCTAAACTAATTTGGGTCGTTTTTAGTAAAAAAAAAAAAAAAAAAAAGAATCCTTTTTGGCCCAGATTTATGAAGAAAGATTATTTATTTGCAAATATTTTAAGAAAAATACTTTTTCAAAATCTTTGTACTTTTTCAATTATATAGCAAAAAAATTTAAAATCCCAGTTATGAATAAATACCACCAAATTAAAGTTTTATCTGTCTCAAAAAAATGCTAAAACATTCATATGGGTACAGTGTTGCATGACCGCGCTATTGTCATTCAAAGTGTGATGGCGCTGAAACCTGAAAATTGGTCTGGACTGGAAGGGGGTAAAAGTGTCCGGATTTGACATGAAACATGGTCACAGTCTGCAGCCCACCAAGAAGGGGTTCTTTTCTTCACTATGTCACTTCCTGACATCATTGTTTACTACTTGTGAAATCTGTGAATGATCACAGAAGTCACATGGTACAGGGCTATTCACAACAGCCTTGTACCATGTGACAAGCTGTGACCAATCACAGCTCTCACAGTATTTCTCAATGGCTGCAGGAATGTAGCCAGAGAGAAGGAGAATTGATTACTTTTACAGCCTTTATGGGTGTAAAAGCAATCAGTGTAAAAAAAAAAAAAAAAAAATCATCACCCCCCACAAGTAGTACTGTGTCACTATGGTGACACTGTACTGCTAGGGTGACAGTATGTTAAAAAAACAAAACAAAACAAAAAAAAAAAACCATAAATAATAATATAAAAAATAAAAATATAAATGTAAAACAACATTTTGAAAAATTATAATTTTTGGCTATAAACTAATTTGGGTTATTTTTTTTTTTTTAATAAAAAGATAGATGAATACATTTTGGCCAAGATTTATGAAGAAAGATTATTTATTTGCAAAAAGTTTTTTTCAGAATTTTTGCACTTTTTCATTTATATAGCAAAAAATAAAAATCCCAGTGGTGAATAAATACCACCAAAATAAAGTTTTATCTGTCTCAAAACAAAATTCTAAAAAATTCATTTGGGTACAGTGTTGCATGACCGCGCTATTGTCATTCAAAGTGTGATGGCGCTGAAAACCTGAAAATTGGTCTGGACTGGAAGGGGGTAAAAGTGTCCGGATTTGAAGTGGTTAAGTTGATTGGCAAGGCTATACTTTGGAGTATCATTTACCCCACAAGAATCGCTGGCAAAAATCTTGAGCTTCATTTTTTCAAGGATGTAGGATTTTTAAAGTGGAAATTGCAGTCCGGTCAAATTGTCCGGGCCCCCTCCTCCATTATTAGTTGGTGTAAGTAAGTTATACCTGTACAAAAAAAATTTGGCCTCATGTACTTGCCTTACTCATGTCTTCTGCATGGCATCACCATCTTTCCAGCAAGATTTCCAGTCCATTGCAAGAGCTCTTGCGAGGTATTGGCTGCTGTGTATTCCCCAGGATCTAGCTGAGAAGAGTGTGATGTCATCCTTGCCTGCATACCCTGGGGGTAAATATAAACCTTACCAACTTTTCGTAGCGGTACATATCGCACCTTCAGTAAGTGATTTGTAAAAGGGGACCCGGACAGCGTAAGTGGAAATTTTACTGCAAGGGCCACTTTACAGACGAGTCAATGACAATCAGCAGACCTCTCATTTGTAAAGGAACCATCAGGTCACCCTTCGTTTTCTGGTTCCTTGCCATCTGGAAGTGCGTGGATTGTTGAGCTTTATTTCAACCACAAATCTGCACAGTCTCCTTTTTTTTTTATAATTTCAGGAAGTCATTGAATTGACTAAAGACCTTCTCGCCTCACAACCCTCGGAAACCCCTGAAAATTCAGATGGTCACGCCTCTGCCGGCGGCAGCCAGGTCTGGAAAGTGGGGGATCGTTGCATGTCAGTATGGACGGAAGATGGACAGTAAGTGGCACGCTGCATAGTATTGGTTTACCATATGATGTGCTATGAGCCGGTAAGATGTGCTTGGTCTGTCCAGGGCTGTAACATTGTGTTAGCCCTGTACCTTGCATGCAGAGAACAGAATCTCAACTGTTGCTTGGTGGAAATGTTGATTTTATTGCTCAATTTATAAAGGAGGTATCTGCAAAATGCATCAATATAGGGTATGTCTTCCATGCAAATACTTTCAGGTGAACTGTACATTCATTTCAATTGGTACTCGCTGTGACATCCTATATATATTTTTTTTTTCTCAAGTTTAAATCATTTCTAAAGCCTATTTTGTATTAATGAGCCTGTTAGTACCTACCTTCTCTGTGCAGTAGTATTGCACAAAATGTCCCCATCCTCCTCCTCCTCTTAGGTCCCCCATGGGCGCTCTTGGCTCCTCCTCTTATTGATGCATCACCATAGGAAATCACTTACTATTGGGGCGTACCTGCGGGCTCATTCCCAGGCCATGCTGTGTGCTTTTATTGCCGCACACTGTGCAGCTCAGCCCTGCCCGCCCACTCTCTGCTCACAGGATTTGATTGACAGCAGCAGGAGTAAATGGTTCCCGCTGCTGCCTCTGTGAGCAGAAAGAGAGGCAAGAGCTGCTGCAGGCAGACACAATGCTGGATCAAGCTCGGACTCGGTTAAGTTTACGGGGGGGGGGTGAGGGGTGTGATACAAGTAATGGGACATTTTTTTATCTTCATGCAGAGAATGCATTAAGACACAAATGTCCAGCCTTTAGAACCACTCTAAGTTTAATCTGCTTATTTTTTTGCCTTTCCTGGTCCCACCTCTGCCCTCATCAATGATTTTTGATCTAGTGATGATATCACTGGGTCTTTGTGCTTCTCTATGCAATGCTGGCAGGTCATGGCTGGTGGGAGGGGCCAGAAGGGCACTGTTCATAGCTTTTGAAACCATCACAGCCTCAGTACTGCTCTCAAAACTCTAGGTCAGGTGATAGCAGTGAGAAGGGTATTGCAAATACCAAAATGCCTTGTTGAGTGAATGTCATTCTGGAGAAGTGGGTGTACCTAGGCAGGCTGCTTTTGCAAACAGAGCAACATACGTAATGCTTCCATGTGATGCTAAGCTTCCATGAAAGAACTGAAATCCAATGAATGAAAGAAGCAGGCCAGAATGTCCTCTAGCCAGGAAATGAGGCAGGCTCTATCGCACTTGCTCTGACGCTTTTATGCACATTGTGAGAAGCTCACAGTGTGCAGCCAAATCAAAGTAAGCCATTTCAGTCAGGAGGGGAGTCTGTACAACTGTGCAAGACTGAAGGGAAGGCTGACCAAAATATCGTGCTTAAAGCGGAGTTCCACTCACCCTGTCAAATAATAAAAGTTAGCAGCTACAAAAAGCTGCTGACTTTTAAAAAACAGCCACTTACCTGTCCCTCGATCCCATGGTGTGTCCCCCGTAGCCCGTTTCACCGGCCGTCCTGGATTCTAGGAGGCCGGCATCTTCAGTATGGGCACCTGGCTGTGAGAGCTTGCGGCTTCACAGCCGGGTACCCACTGCGCATGCGCGAGTAGCGCTGCACTTCGTAAATGGTCCTGTAGTCTTCTGGGTCCTGTCACGTGTCCCAAAAGACTACAGGGTGGGAGGGAGGGAGGACCCCTTCTGCTTCCAATCACCTAGGCAATCGGACCGGAAGTGGGAGCGGGTACCTGTCAAATAATTCAGGTTCCCGTTCCCCAAAGGTGCCAATCCTTAATGGGGAGCAGTCCTTAAAGCGGAACTTCCCCTTTTGGTTTGCAAAGGAGAGACTTCATCAGCTGTACAGTTTTACAGAGCCTCATTTATGTGGTAATTGCATGTTTTTAAGGGTTTATAATCTTCATTCTCTGCAGATAAGGACACATGAATACAGCCCTGGTATTGTGAATATATCATTAAAGGATAAGTTCACCCTAAAGGATAGGGTTCATCTTAAAAGAGAAGTTCATATTCAGGGTGCAACATGTCTCGAATAGACCTACCTTCACTCTGACAGCTATAGGGTGATCTTCTGCTAGATGTCAAAATTTAAAAAAAAAAAAAAAACGTGGCCATGTGATGCTCCACCTGCCCAGCCGTGTCACTCATTCACAGTCCTCTGTGGATGAGAAACTACAAGTCCTAACAGACTTACCGGCTGTGAGCTTGTAGTTCTCAATGAAATACGGCGCTGTGGAGTGCCGTGGTAGTTCATTGTTTCTTCCTGTCAGTATAGCTGCTTGCCCATACATCCTGGAGATATACTGACAGGTCTGCAGGAGACCTGCATGGCTCCAGCGATCTGCTGGTCACTGGTGCAGTGGTTTACAGGCTCTTGCAACAAAAAATAATAAATGCACTTTTTTTTTTTACCTGCAAAAAAATGTGCATTTATTATTTTTTTTACCTGCAAAAAAATGTGCATTTATTATTTTTTAGCAAAGGTGAACCTATCCTTTAACGTCAAATTCCAGGCTAAACGTAACTAGTCCAAAAAATGCCACCTTGCTCCTCTCCCTCTCACCTATGCTGACTAGCCTGTGTAATAATGATGTATATATTTACCTATTTTCAGGCTGCTCCAGTCCAGCCATGTGATCTTCGTTTCAGTCAGTGGTGGCTGCAGGGGAGAGGAGAGAGCGCGCAACAGCTAGGAAAGCATTGGAGTGGTGATGTCAAACATAGGCTCAGGTAGTCCAACTGTTTGGGGCTCTCCCCTGCACCTGCCGCTGACTGACAAAGGGGAGCCAGATCATGTGACCTGAATATATCTAAGTATATACATCTTTCTTACACAGGTTAGTCATCATAGATGTTGGGGGGGGGGGGGGGGGGTGAGGGATCATTATTAAAACTGGTTAGGTTTAGTCTGGGATTTTACTCTAAATGTATTTTGTAAATGCAAGCAGTGTAAGTACCCGAATTTGACCTGATAACCGACTTTTGCAGTAACAGTACAGCAGAGCTCAGACTGGGAGTGGGAGACACGGCACAAGTAACCAGTCAATTCTGCAGTGCTCATGTAATGACAAAGGGCATGCTGATAGGAGTAAGGATTGGAGAAATGCTCATCAGTTGGCTGCCTCCCCAATTTACTGTTCACGTATAGGCCTGGGCGGAGGACAAGACCTGAAAATGTTCAGCAGAGAAAAAAAATCAGGTCTCCTGCCCTACTAGGCCTCTCGCTGCTTTTTTATGGCTAACCTGCAATAACTGTCTTAGCTGCAGGGATAAAACAAAGCAAATATAAAGCAAAATCATGTAAAAAAATGTCATGATCACAGTCAGTCACAATTAATTTACCCTCTCTTCCTGTCCAGATGACAATGTTTTAGCATACAGGAAGTAAGGAGATCTCCTCAAAAAGAAACAAAAGAAAAAATTGATGGAAATCCTTCCCTGCTCCATCAGAAAGTGTTAAAAAAAAAAAAAAAAAGGTTTTGCCATGATGTATACATTCACATTGGTGGTAGCTGGGTAACTACAGACAAGGGGAGTTGGGCTCTTAATTTGCACTGTGTGATGTTGGCGCCATGCTGTGTTGCAGGCCATTACTCACATGCTTACAGCCATGATCTCTTTACAGGTGGTACGAAGCTGAGATCGAGGAGATAGACGAAGAGAATGGCACGGGCGCCATCACGTTCTTGGGGTACGGAAATGCTGAAGTCACATCTCTGCTCAACCTGAAACCCGTGGAGGAGGGAAGGAAAACCAAGGAAGTCAGCGGCAGCCTACCCATGTCAAAGTGCGTATGTCTTCCAAACCAGTGTCATGTTAATGTATTAACCACATCAGTGCCGGAAGGTTTCCCTCCCCCCCCTTCCTGACAAGGCCATTTTTTGCTAGTCGGTGCTATTCCAAATGGTAATTGCGCAGTCATTGCATGCTGTACCAAACAAAATTTGCTTTTTTTTTTGGTGGTATTTTATCACCACTGGGTTTTTTATTTTTTGTGATATAAATGAAAAGAAGTTTGGAAAAAAAACACGATATTTTCTACTTTTCATTTATAAAAAATATCTAAAACTCAGTTAGTCATAAATTTAGGCCAAAATGTATTCGGCTACATATCTTTTAGTGAAAAAAAAAAATCCCAATGAATGTTGATTAATTGGTTTGTGTGACAGAGCGTCTACAAACTATGCTCTGCGTGTGTGTATATATGTGCGTGTGTCTATGTCTGTGTGTGTGTGTGTGTGTATATATGTATATATATATATGTATATGTATATATATATATATATATATATATATATATATATATATATATACATGTATATGTAGATGGATAGATATATATATGTGTGTGTGTGTGTGTGTGTGTGTATATATATATATATATATATATATATATATATGTGTATATGTAGATAGATAGATAGATATATATATATATATATATATATATATATATATATATATATATATATATGTGTGTGTGTGTGTATATATTTGGAATTTACGCAGCTTTTACTTTCTGACTTCCTATCACATGTCTTGAGGTGCTAAAATGCCGGAGCAGTACAAAAACTCCCCAAATTACCCCTTTTTGAAATGTAGACACCCCAAGGAATTTGCTGAGTGGCATGTTGAGTTCATTGAAGATTTTATTTTTTGCCACAAATTTGTCAATTTAAATTATATATGGGCTACTTCCCAAAAAGGGTTGTTTTTTTTTTTTTTTTTTTGTTTTTTTGGAGGGGGGAGGTGGCGGTGCTCCTACTATTTTAGGGCCAACATTAGAAGCTTATGCCACACATCAGCCACTCTTCTAACCACTTGAAGACAAAGCCTTTTTTAATGCTTTTTATTTCCATGGCGAAAAACGTTTTTTTTTTTTTTTTTTTTTTGCTACAAAGTTACTTCAAACCCCCAAACATTAAATATGCAGAGGCCATAGAGAATTAAATGGTGGGTGTTGACATTTTTTGTGTCACACTGTATTTGCACAGGTAAATTTAAAAAAAAAAAAATACACTGATTTTATTCGAATACACAAAAACAGTATATTGCCAAATTAATAAAATACAAAAGTTGATGTTACAGCGAGTAAATGGATACCAAACTTGACATTCTTTAAAATTGCGCACGCCCGTGCAACGGCGACATGCTAGGTGAATTTTTAATATCAATAGGCAACGCTTTAAAAGCCTATACAGGACACCACTTTATATTTACACAGGAGGTCTAGTGCTAGAATTACTACTCTCAACTTGACCTTCGTGGTGACACCTCACATGCATGGTGCAGTTTCTGTTTACTGCCCATGTTGAGAGTTAGGCCCAAAAAAGTTTTAAATTCAGAAACCGTGATAAAAATACTAAATCCTGCCAAGTCTCTGACTATCATTAATACCGTTTGCCTTGGGAGTGGAAGATCATATAATTGAAAGTACTTTTGTTGTCCCCCAGACATAAATGAGCAGTTATCTTCTGCACTGCGAGCGCAGCCCTACTACAAGAACAATTAGGTTTCCTGGGTTTGGGTTTTAACAGTTTCCTAACCTGCCATTGTAGGTAAAGCAGTATTAAACCCAAAACCAAAAATGTAATATATTGCAACTTACCAATTCTTAGTTGTGGTGGCTGCATTCGTTTTTTGTTTTTTTTTTTTAGGCGTATTCCTTGTTTTCCCCCGGTGATCTGCCCAGTAACACACCTCCTGTGTTAGAGTGCCCCCACTCTGGATGAAGGAACAAGAGAGACCCCTTTGGAGAGTAGCATTGTCAGTCAGGGAGAGGGGAGTTTTAGATGTTTGAGCAGATTTAGACACACTTAACAAACTGAACCCAAACTTCAGATCACACATGCAGTTGAAGCAACAGTTTTTTCCTTTTGAGATAAAGGTTTTACATGAATAAATAAAATCTGATCATTGTAAGCACCCTTGTCATTGGTAAATAGTTTGTCTCAACACTGATACATTTGAGAAACAGACTTATTGGCTAGACCAGTGGTTTCCAGATGCGGCCCTTTGCTTGCTCTTATCTGGCCTTTGGGGCACTATTTATCCACCGATACCACAATGGGGCATAATTCCCCCCACTGGCACCAATGATGGGGCACAATTCCTCTCCAATGATACCAACGATGGGGCACAATTTCTACCACTGACACCAATGATGGAGCACAACTTCTACCACTGACACCAATGATGGGGCACAATTGCCCCTACTGACACAAATGATGGGATGCTATTCCTCCATATGACACCAATTATGGGGCACAATTCCTCCCAATGATACCAACGATGGGGCACAATTCCTCCCAATGATACCAACGATGGGGCACAATTCCTCCCAATGATACCAACGATGGGGCACAATTCCTCCCAATGATACCAACGATGGGGCACAATTCCTCCCAATGATACCAACGATGGGGCACAATTCCTCCCAATGATACCAACGATGGGGCACAATTCCTCCCAATGATACCAACGATGGGGCACAATTCCTCCCAATGATACCAACGATGGGGCACAATTCCTCCCAATGATACCAACGATGGGGCACAATTCCTCCCAATGATACCAACGATGGGGCACAATTCCTCCCAATGATACCAACGATGGGGCACAATTCCTCCCAATGATACCAACGATGGGGCACAATTCCTCCCAATGATACCAACGATGGGGCACAATTCCTCCCAATGATACCAACGATGGGCACAATTCCTCCCAATGATACCAACGATGGGGCACAATTCCTCCCACTGACACCAACGATGGGGCATAATTCCCCCTACTGAAACAAATGATGGGATGCTATTCCTCCATATGACACCAATTATGGGGCACAATTCCTCCCAATGACGCTAGCGATGGCTCACAATTTCTCCCAATGACACCGCTGATGGGGCACAATTCCTCTCGCTGACAACAAAGAAGGCATTGTTTTAGCTCCACTGACATCGGGACCTTTTCTACTTTCAAAGATCACAGTCTGGTCCCCCTAAAGTCTGAAGGACCGTAAACTGGCCCTTTGTCTAGAAAGTTTGTAGACCCCTCGACTAGACTAACAGATGAAAATAAAGAGAAGAAAGCCTAAAAAAATAAATCTAATGCAGCCATCACATCTAAGAATTGTTAAGCTGCAATATAATAATTCCCTTTTGGGTTTAATACCACTTTGAGCAACCAGTAAGGGTAGCAGCTGTTTTAAAACATCCTTGTCTGAATGCATGTGTGCACACTATGCCTGTGATTGCGCTGTCATTGGCAGAAAACCTAAACCTCCCTCTTAACCACTTCCTGTCCGGACACTTTTACCCCCTTCCTTTCCAGGGCAATTTTCAGCTTTCAGCGCTATCACACTTTGAATGACAATTGCGTGGTCATGCAATACTGTACCCATATTTTTTACCATTTTTTTGAGACAGATAAAGCTTTATTTTGGTGGTATTTATTCACCGCTGGGATTTTTATTTTTTTTACTATGTAAATGAAAAAGTCCAAAAATTTTGAAAAAAAGTGTTGTGTTTTTTTTTTAATAAAATTTTGCAAATAAATAATATTTCATCATAAATCTTGGCCAAAATTTATTCCGTTATTTTTTTAGTAAAAAAAAAAATCCGAATTAGTTTATAACCAAAAATTATTATAATTTTTAAACATTTTTATTTTATTTTTTTATAATATTTTTATTTATTTTTTTACATACTGTCACCCTAGCAGTACAGTGTCACCATGGTGACACTGTTCTACTTGTGGGGGGTGATGAAGATTTTTTTTTTTTTTTTTTTACACTGATTGCTTTTACACCCATATAGGATGTAAAAGCAATCATTTCTCTTTCTCTCTGTCTGCATTCTTGCAGTCATTGAGAAGTACTGAGTGAGCTGTGATTGGTCACAGCTTGTCACATGGTACAAGGCTGTTGTGAATAGCCCTGTACCATGTGATCTCTGTGATCATTCACAGATTTCACACGTAGTAAGCAATGGTGTCACAAGTGACATCTTGCTTACTACTTTGCATGTGATCACTGATTCGCCAATCAGTGATCACATGATCGGGACCTCGTACAGAGGTCCTGTCCGACGATCGGTGTTCCGCTGTGTCCAGAGGACACAGCGGGCACCGGATCGCAGTGCTGCATGCTCCCAGGGAGCGCGCACAGCTAGAAAAGGCGGGTGCCGTTTATGAACGGCAACCCGCCCCTGGAGTGCCACCGCCCTTTGCCGTTTATCAACAGCAGGCGGACGGCAAGAGGTTAAGTATGCTATCCCATATGATAAATGTTCTATCATCATGTCGTATATTCTGACCATATATGCTATCATTTAAAATATGCCAAAAAAAAACTTTTTTAAAAAAATCTGTTGCATAAAATGTTGTTTAGTGGCTGGGCATGTGAAAATGGAGATCTGTATGTACCCACCTGGAACCTGACCTCATATGTCTTTATAGGAAAGAGCTGATTGCACAGCAGAGGGAGTATAAGAAGAAGAAAGCGCTGAAGAAAGCTCAGAGGATAAAAGAGCTGGAACAGGAGCGAGAGGACCAGAAAGTTAAATGGCAACAATTTAATAACAAAGCCTATTCCAAGAACAAGAAAGGACAGGTACTCTTCCATTCAGTGTGGTTTGTGTCCTATTGTCTGGTAATTAGCTGACGTTTAAAAGCGGAGTTCCACTTGAAAAAAAAAAAAAAAGTCAGCAGCTACAAAAACTGTAGCTGCTGACTTTTAAAATACAGCCACTTACCTGTCCCTCAGTCTATCAATGTCCTCACCATGGCTGGTTTCACCGGCCATCTTCTCTCCCTGGCGCCGGCATCTTTAGTGTGCGCACCCGGCTGTGACAGCTTGCGGCTTCACAGCCGTGTGCCCACTGCGCATGCTCAAGAAGCGCTGCAATTTGTGAATGGCCCTGTAGTCTTCTTGGACCTGTTATGTGTCCCAGAAGACTACAGGGAGGCAGGGGGGGGGGTACAACTTCCACTTCCAATCGCCTAGGTGATCACAGCGGAAATGGGAATGGGTACCTGTCAAATTCAGGTACCCGCTCCCCAAAGGTGCCAATCCTTAATGGAGAGCGGGGGACAAAACATTAAAGCAGAATTTCTATTACAAAATTCTTTGGGGGGGAGATCTTTGATGTGCTATGGACCCCTCCACACAGATTGAGCTGCGACTTCCAGAATTTAGACAAAATGCTTTGTACTGTATTGTCTGGCAATTAATACTTGTTTATGTTCATATGACTGGTAGCATGGGTGAAGGGAAATTAATGGTGGGGATCAGCCTTATGAAACAGGAAGATAGATTAACAAAGCCCTTTGGATATCCTCTTTCAAGTTGCTTTATTCAGGCACTGCTGCTGTTTGTGTATAGTTTTCATTACAATAGGGGTTGTTTTTTAAAAGATGCAATAAAAATTCAGACTGGAGTTCAGCTTTATAGTATATGTAGAGCCTTACAATTCATTTCTCTGGTTTTCTCCCTTTTTGACCTGTTAAATATACCATTGATAGTGATGAAAAATCCTCCTGCGCTTAAATGGAGTCCTGCCCTCAAAGCTGCTGACACTAACCTTATACCCAATAAGTGAATGAAACAAACAGTGTAGCGCTAACAAAACTAAAAATAAGTGAACAAGTGATTGAAATACATAAATAAACTTAATACATGCTAAACAGTCCCCTTGTTATGCACACCGGGGAGATTTACATAAATAAATCAATAAATAGTGTCATACGTGAATTCCCTCTCATAGGGAATATCCAATGCACATAGTGAAATAAAACACCATAATTCAATACTGTGAAAAAACACACAATAGTGCACATAAACTGCCCCCCACTCACCTCATGCAATCCTTACTTAGACCCCAACCGGGCCAGCTCGCTTTAGGGATCAACCGATCCTGTAAGAACAGACTCCTCTCAGGATTCCCCTCACTGATGGTAAGCGTCTCCAGCCTTCACCAAACTAGCAGCCAGCTCCAAAATCAAACTGCATTGAAATCCTTGAGGGACCATTTTTCATCCATCTTCTGCCAGCACATGAGGCAGCATAACCTCTGGGAAAAGCATTCGCAAAGTTCTCCAACAGCTTTTCCTGCTCCTGTAGATATTTGGGTTACAATAGCTTGCCTAGAAACCCCTCAAAGGAAAAAACGGTGAACATGAAAAATGGTCCTTCAAGGATTTCAATGCAGTTTGATTTTGGAGCTGGCTGCTAGTTTGGTGAAGGCTGGAGACGCTTACCATCAGTGAGGGGAATCCTGAGAGGAGTCTGTTCTTACAGGATCGGTTGATCCCTAAAGCGAGCTGGCCCGGTTGGGGTCTAAGTAAGGAGGTGAGGGGGCATTTCGGATATTGGAGGATTGGCACTTGTGAATCACGTACACAGCACGATTGCATGAGAGTGAAGTGGGAGGACCAGTATAAGCATCGTAAATTTTGGAATTTTTTGAACTAAATATTGGCTCACAGTTGATGTGCACTATTGTGTGTTTTTTCACTGTATTGAATTATGGTGTTTTATTTCACTATGTGCATTGGATATTCCCTATGAGAGGGAATTCACGTATGACACTATTTATTTATGTAAATCTCCCCGGTGTGCATAACAAGGGGACTGTTTAGCATGTATTAAGTTTATTTATGTATTTTTAATCACTTGTTCACTTATTTTTAGTTTTGTTAGCGCTACACTGTTTATTTAATTATACCATTGATAGTATTTTTGTTTTGTGTGATGAGTGCAAAAAATGCCAGTTGATCCTGTCAGAAATCCAGTGAACTGATAAGTAACTTTGATCTCTCAGAACGCAACACCTCCCACCTATCTTGTTATAGAGTTTAGGGGTGTTTTTCTGTAGTCTTGATACACTTCTGTCCTAGGTGACAACACTGCTCGTTCTTACAGTAAAGTGAGTGAGCATAGTCAACCTAGGAGAACGTGTTTTTCTGGCAGGACCGCCAGGTGAAATAACGGTCTGGTAAGCTGCAATATTTAATACATTTTTGTTTATTTGGGGGTTATATATGATTTACATCTCAACTTCAAAGACACTTTCATTAGTGTCAAAAGTGGACCTTACTCTCTAGAACACAGTTGTGTGCAATTCTGCACGCTTAAAAAAAAATAAATAGTCCAACATGTATTTTGCTATGTCTTTGCTAAAAATAATCCCAATATGTGTAAATTACTTGTTTTACATGAAAGTTATAGCGTCTACAAATGGCGGTGTATATATATTTGTTATTTTTCTCTTTTACTAGTAATGTTGGCGATCAGCGACTTATTGCGGGACTGCGGTGGGCTTTCTGACACTGGGGGGAACTGACTTGGTGTCACTACATCCCTAGTGACCGCAATACAGATGATCAGCGCTAATAAAAAGCACTGACACTGTACTAATGACACTGGGCAGGAAGGGGTTGAAATCTGGGGCGATCAAAGGGTTAACTGTGTGCTGTGTGTGTTTTACTAAGTGTGCTGTTTTAGTAGGGAAACAAGCTGCATTGTATTGCTCTGCTATGTAGAGCAATACAAAGCAGCCTGTTCCTGCTGACAAGGGAGAGATCTGTATTGTTTACATACAGACCTCCTGTTAGCTCCGCTGACGATCACAAGAATCGGCAGCCGGGACCCGGCGATTGACATCCCAAGGAGCCAATAGCAGCACGGTAGGGGGTGTGCGCGCACCCCCTACCCGGAAATACAAAATGTCGTATATGTATGTGATTTTGCGCCGCCCTGTAGCAGTACTTCTGTTATAGGGAGGTCGGGAAGCGGTTAAAGTGCAGTGCTCGTTCCAAACAAAACGAAAAGGAGAGTCTCACAAAAGACATTCAGAAGAAGCAGAAAAAATACAGTATGAAATGAAATCGTGAAAAGTAGATTAGAGGACAATCAATTAGTGAAACATTGTTTAGTGCCACACACTTTTGTGTAAAAATACAAACAAAAGAAAAAAAACTTGTTTTTTTTTTTTCCATCTCCTCCTGGCCATACACAAGCAAATCCTGGGGCTGTGTGTTTTTGTAATTGACCAGATATAGAGGGAGGCCGAGAAATGACCATAGCCGTGGGGTTTATGAGACCTGCAGCATGTACATTTGAGTGGCTCAGAAATACCGCGGGAACTAAACTAATCCTGACATGTAAACGATAAGAATTTAACGTGATATTAACCACTTGCCCTCCTGAGGATTTACCCCCCTTCCTGACCAGGCCATTTTCTGCGTTGCGTTACTTTACCTGACAATTGCGAGGTCATGCAACGCTGCACCCAAATGAAATTTAGGTGATTTTTTTCCCATGAATTGAGCTTTCTTTCGGTGGTATTTGATCGCCTGTGTGTTTTTTTTTGTTTTGTTTTTTTTTTTGTGTTTTTTTTGTGCTATAAAAAAAACATTTTTAAGAAAAAAAAAGAATATTTGTGACTTTTTGCTATTAAACATGTCCAGTAACAAAATTTAAAAAATCTAATTTTGTCATAAATTTACACCAAAATGTATTCTGCTACATGTCTTTTATAAAATTAAAATCCCAATACGTGTAAATGAATTGGTTTATATGACAGTTATAGCGTTTACAAATGGCGGTATATATCCTGGAATTTTATTTCTTTTTTTTACTAATAATGGTGGCGATCAGCGACTTATAGCGGAACTGAGGCGGACATTCTGACACTGGGAGCAATTGACTTGGTGTCACTGACATTCCCATTGACACTAATACAATGATCAGTGCTAAAAAAAAAAAAAAAAAAAAAAAGCACTGACACTGTACTAATGGCACTGGACAGGAAGGGGTTAATATGAGGGGCGATGAAAGGATTAACTGTGTGCAGGATGTGTTCTACTGGGGGGCCGTGTCTGTGTGCTTCACTGTAATCACACTGCTCTGGATGGCTGTGCTGTGCACAGCCATCCAGAGCAATGTGCCTGAGCTGACAGGGAGAACAGGGTGCGCTGGTAGGGCGCACGTGCGGCTTGTGCTCACCTCCTACCCGGAAATGCAAAATCACGTGTATATATTTTGCGCACCTATGCCGCCCTGTAGCAGTATTTCTGCTATAGGGTGGACGGGAAGCGGTTAAAGTTCACCACTACATGCGAGCACAGGGGGATGGGGGCACTTTAAACTTTTTCTTTTTTAATTTATATTTAATGTTTTGTTTTTTGTTTTTTTTGGCACTGTCCCTTTAAAAAAAAATGTTTAATCACTTTTATATTATCACAAGAAATGCATACATCCCTTGTGATGGAAATAATTAGTGACAGGTCCTCTTTATGGAGAGATATGGGGTCAATAAGACCCCACTTCTCTCCTCTACAATGTAAAGCATTGGATCAAAAAAAAAAAGCATTGATCTAGTGCTTTGCTCCGGTCTGCCAAGGGCATAGAGATAAGTGGAGGCCATCTTTTCCTTCATTCATCTCTATGCCCAGCGACGGGATCGTTCTATGGTTTCTCAGGTAAGGCTGAGAAGTACCAAGTGGCGGCGGCGAGGGACGGGTTTTTTCCGACACCTGTATCGGTGCTTTTTTTTTTTTTTTTTTTTTTTCATATCGACCGACAGCCTAAAGATGTGTTTTCAACCGAAA